AATTGGGAGCAATAATTGTATGTATCTCATAGGGTTGGTGTGAAGGTGAAATTAGTTAAGTTGTGTGAAATGCTTTAAACAGTAGCTGGTATATAGTAAATTCTCCTTATTAGACATTTTTGTTTGATGCAAAACTAGGCAGCTGTTTGAAAATGATGCACCAGAGTCCCTGTCATAAGAGAGCTTCCTTGAGAAAGATGACGGTCCTGCTTTGACAGGCATCAGTGCAGGTTCTAAGTTCACCTGCTGGCTGCTAAGGAGATGAAGTATATGCAGAAGAGGGGACTCATAAGAGGAAAGCGATGGAAACCATCCTACATGAAGGGCTTTGAAGGAACTGGGGACGTTTTCATTAAAGAAGAACAAACTTAGGTTCAGATATCTGAAGGAAATAGAGTTGTTGCATGACCCCAGGCAGCAGATCTGGAAGACCTGTGTTTGTAGAAACATACAGTTCAGTAGTTGGAACAGAGAACCCAATATGTTTGTTGAATGGAGGAATGAATAAATGAGAAAGTAAATTTGTATGAGAAAGAACTTTCTAAAAGCACCACTGAAAGAGAATGAGCCCCTTTCACTGGAGGTGGGCAAAAATAGTATAGGAGAGAACGGTGACTGAGTTGGACTCTTTGGAGTCAGACAGACTTGGGTTAAAATTTGGCCAGTGCCACTTAAAAGCTACATGACCCTGGGAATTTTACCTAACTCTTCTCAGCTCTTACTCCTCTACCTGTAACATGTGTACATCAGCTGTAGCCATCTCATAGGGTTGTCAGGAAGATTAAATGAGATAATGCATGTGCCGTAGGAGTTCAATAAATCACAATCATAATAGCAGTAGGAGTAGTTATTATTGTCCTCAGGCTGGGAAAATACAGGTCAGAGACATGTAGGTGGACCTGGGGGATCAGATCGGAGACGAGACGGAATGACTTCTAGCTTTCCTTTCAAATTATAGGTCCTCTGCTTCTGTTTTCAGTAGCTCTTATTCTCTTTTATAGAAACTTTTGAGAGTAGAAAGTACGTCTCTGGGTTACAGAGAGAAGCAGAAATCTGTCTGGTAAAAAGAGAGCAGCTTGTGGCCAGGGAGAAGAATAACAATAATAGATACATCTGAGGAGGGATTACCTTTGTGACCGTTGTTTTATTGGTGCTGTAGTCTAACTACTAAGCTAACCCACCATAGAGCGAGCCACGAGAGACCAGAGGTCAAAAGCAAAGAACTAAGAGTGGTTTCCCAGCAGCTGTGAGCTTACCTGACAAGCTCCGGGGTCCCTCTGATTAGGGCCATTCTCCATGGTCTCTCGATGATTCAGCACAGGATCAACTAGCAACATCTTCATTCTCTTACTGATTTGCTCACTCAGTTCTCCTCGGTGCTAGACTCCAAGCTGAAACGTCTTTTGCTAGAAGGAATCCCTTCCTAAGATAGATCCAACCTGTTCTAGATGGTCCTAGACAGCAGAACCCAGGTCCGGGATGTGAGGACCTAGCAAGGTGGGATAAGGAAGAACTTTCTCATAGCCATATCAGGGCCACCATGTTGCATAATTCCAGGAAGTGTCATTAACGTTGTGATTCTGTACTACAGCATCCTGGACCAGCATGGAGATCTTCAAAGTTACTACATGGCTTGTCACCAGAGATGGCTAGGGGAGGCTGGAAGACCAGGGAGTTATGATGAATAGACTGAATATTGGCTCTCTTCAAACCAGAAATTTGGGATGCTAAATCATTTTAAGACATACATAACTCTTTCCCTTCTTTGGGGAACTCACATTCTCTCTAGGCAAAGGACTCAGCTAAGATACAGTCATGGTCATCTGTGACTGAATACCATCACAGTTGCACAGGTAGTATATTATGTATTATCTAATTTGAAATAAAATGTTATTTTCATAATCTGGGCAAGGCAGGAAAGAGAGACTTTACTAGTGATACTGCAGTTTTTTGGTGTTTTTTTGTGGGGGAGGGGAAGAATGCTTATTAACAAAACCGTATCCTAAAACAGAGAGGTTGTCTTTTCACACTTAAATATTTGCCTTTTAAAAATACAGATTGATAAGGCTTGAGCAAGCGCAGTTTGGTACATACAACCTCTGGGTCAGAATCTAAAGTGGTGAGTAAAAAATAAGAAAAAAGACAAGATGAATTTGTTTACTTTGGCATATGTTAACCTGGAGAGCCAGATGTGGGAATGGAGCTCAACATACATACAAGAGGGTAGTTATTTCTAACATGTGGAATTTATTTTGGGGACCTTTGGAGATGCTCTGTAAACTGTGGATTGTTATCCCCAGAAAAAAGGCATATATGTGTGCATCTCTGTGCATGTAACTATCTCACACATACATGTGCACTCTTTCATACAGAATCTCCTTTATGGACCCTGGAATTCCTGGATTCCACGTAAGGGACTCATGTGTAGAGTAACCTTCATTGCTTGGCGGTTATGGTCCTCATGTTTCTAGGGTGAAGATTTTCCTTCTGCAATTTGTCTGGACTCTCCCAAAGAGTAAGAACTTCATTTTCCTTTCTAGCACCTTGGTACCTAGTGCAATGCCAAATATAAAGATAAGTGCTTAATAACTTCAAGTCAAATGAGTAAATGTAGAAAGGCTGATTCCTAAGTTAGACCCAGAACTAGCATTTTCTCCAGCCACCCCAAGCCTAAAGAAAAAAATCGTGTTTTGATATGCTTTTCTCATCTCATAGAAGGTACTCACTGGACAAGCAAGACCTTTCAACAGCTCTGCTTGAAGGAGCACAGCGATTTCTTCACTCTAAAAAGAATCTAAAACTTGGCTCCGAGAAGGAGTTTTCAAAGCAGGGAGAAACAGCCCCAAGCATGCAAACAAACATCAGAAAACGTCAAAATAAAATGACATTAAAGAGTGACTGTGCCAGGGATGCCAAGGAGCTTGAGAAAGTTGCCTTGGGGAGGCCTTTAAGGGAGGTTCCCCCACCCAGTTCCCCGCAGTGCCCTGGTCACATGGGCTGCATTTTGGGAATGTGTCTGCCTCCTTGTTCTTGGCCAACCATGCCCTCAGCCAAAACCAACTGGGACATAAGGAATGTGTTCCGAGGGAGTGCGAATGTTACAACTGGCTCCTTTATGAGCCTTCCTGGAAGCCCAGTGGTGCTCCAGCGCCGCGGCTGGGACTCACAAGTTGGGACAGTCCTTTGACGTGAACCTGAAGGCTCTTCCAGGCCATGGCTCAGACCCTGGAAAGTGGAAAATGCTATTGAGACCGTTGGGAGCAATTCAGAGAAGACAGGGTGGGAATGCTGCAGTGGGTCAGGCCCCTTCTGTGGAAGGACCGGCACAGGGTCACTGACTTGGCGTGAAATAAGAGAAAAGATGCCTACTGACTAGTTTCACTGAACAACAATGGGCCTTTTGTGGGGAGAGAGAAATAAGAAGGGAATTCAACTTCCCAGCTGCCCAGATCTGTCCTTTTGGGTCCAGGCTGGGTAAGACATGTCACCTGGGGCTGAGACGCTGACTTACTCTGGCATTTCTGCCAACACTGGGCTCTTGATCAACCCTCACAAGGCATGTTTGAGATTATTTGAGTTCTCAGAATCTGGAAGACCAAGGTTTCGTGGCCCATATTAAGCATGAGGCCTTGGGGAAATAATCCACTTAGTTATATTCCCCATTTGTGAACTCAATCAACATTTACTTAACATTGGCTTTGAACAAAAATGAGCAAAACTCAGTTCTTTCCCTCTAGGCATGTACAGTGTGGAGATGTACAGTGTACAGATGTGGACCCAGGCAATTGCAATGACAGAACATGATGAAGTACAAAGGCCAAAGAGCAAAGGGAGCAGATTTCAATTATAAAAATCAAGAAGGCTTCATGGAGGAGGAGGTATTTGAACTGAGATGCAAATAGGATGATGTGAGAGGAAAATAGCACCTGCTCCACCCAACCTTTAGAGGTTCTAATAATAAATATATACGTGATTATGTAGTTACAGGGCTGAGATTTCCTTGGAAGAAAACACTGAAGACCTTGGTCTTTGATAATCACCTAATGTAATGACAATATACTTGTCTGACACATCTCAGTAGCCAAGCATGAGGAGCCAGCTGAGGCCTGAAAAATACCGTGCCATTCCGAGAAGAGAAGACACAAAGGCGAGAGTTAAAAGTGGTAACCCTGGGCTTCCCTGGTGGCGCAGTGGTTGAGAGTCTGCCTGCCGATGCAGGGGATGTGGGTTCCTGCCCCGGTCCGGGAAGATCCCACATGCCACGGAGCAGCTGGGCCCGTGAGCCATGGCCGCTGAGCCTGTGCGTCTGGAGCCTGTGCTCCGCAACGGGAGGAGCCACAACAGTGAGAGACCACAGCAGTGAGAGGCCTGCATACCGCAAAAAAAAAAAAGTGGCAACACTGACTTTCAGACAGAAAGTGTCCACAGCTTTGGGTCAGATTAACATCTTCAATAGCTTTAAGACATAATTGTTTTACAGTGGGATGGTCAGACTCAGCTGAGTTTGAATCCTGATTCTGCCAGTGCTATATGGGTGATCTCGGGCAGGCTACTTAGATTCTCTGAACCTGAATTTCCTCAACTGGGGGTAACAGTTTTATTCACCACACAGGGTTCTTATAAAAAAGTAAAAGCAGGGATGTGTGTAAAGCACCTATCAGGTCCTCAGTAGAGGTTAGTACCTCTCCTAACATGTCATAGAATTATGACTCTTGGTAGGCCTAATTCAAGCTACCCATCTTGACCCCCAATCTACAGCGATAATTCTCTTACTCTTACTCCAGCTTCCATTTGTATAGAGTAAAAACCAAACTCCTTGGACCTGTGTGAATTTCATGTGCGCCTTGGACTTACTGCTAATTGAGTTTTAAATGACCACGTGGAGGCTGCGGCCACTAGGACCATTAGCCCTTCCCCTTATTCTCTCCCCTGTCAATTTCCCACTGGGGTCTCCCCCCCAGATATTCTCTCCAGAAGGGGCTTTCCTTTAGTCAATATAATACATTTTTACCACCTTTAATAACCAGAATTTGAGAGTAAAGATATCCAGCGGGGGCCAAAGCTTTTGATTTCCATAGGCTTAGATCAAGCTGTAGAAAAGATCAGAATTTTTTACGGTCTGAGAGGAGTCTATTCTCAGAGTGTTGAGCCCACTGTGACTGCATCTGCCCACATCACCCTGTCAATAAATCTTTTAGTGCAGACACTGCTGCCAAGGAACAGGGACCTGCTGGAGACGACCTGACAAGCGGCAGCCCTGATCCTAGAAACGTTGACCATGAACACCTTCTGTCGAATGTGCAGAATCGCTTTCACTCCTTGATTCATATACAAGCAGATTCATGGGACTCAATGCAGACCCAAGGGATAGGGTGGTGAGTTGCATGCTTGATGTGCCCTCCAGTAGATTCTCATGCCCACTAGAGTTTGGTATTTACCATCCAGATGAGGATAACAGTGGCTTTCCAGGAGCGTCAAGTGCTGGCCATCAACAAGCCGCAAATTCGTGGAAAGATGCTATGGCTCAAATTGAGGAAGGTTAGAGGGGCTGGTGAGGTCATGTTTGGTATAGTGGGATGACAGGTACCTAAGGGCAAAACATGACAAGAGGTCAGAATCATGCTGAGTAGACACAGCTGAGGAAACAAAGGGTCAGAGCAAGCAGTAGGGAGCCAGCTAAGAGTAAGAAAAATATACTGCCATTTCCAGAGACGTCATGGGTCCTGTGAGGATTCTCCAAGGTGCTTGCCCGGGCTCGTGGAGGAGAAGAAAGCAAGATATCAGAGGTCTAATCAGATAAGACTAAGATCATCTTTGGCATTTGTTCACAAAATTCTCCAAACAATCCTGAATCCCAGTGTCCAGCTCCCATCTGTCATTTAGCTCTGATCATGGGACGTTAAACAGCAGCCACGGGTCACATCGGTGCAAGGAACAGAGGCGTACATCAGACAGTGTCCTGCACATTGTGGATATTAATCCTGACAGAAAAGTCTCTTGCATTGTATGGATTAGTCAATGTAAATTCATTAACTGCTTGTCATGACTGTAATATAATCTGGCCTGACCGTAAAGACTCGACAGCACCGTGTTAATCAGATCTACGCAGAAAACAACGCATTTCTGTTTAGACTCAGCCACTGCTCTTTTTGCCAGATCACGGGCTGGTGCTTTCAGGAGGAGAAAAGGGTGCTCCTGTGCACATCCCCGGGAGGGGCCCTCCTGTCTGCCCACGAGCATCACAAGCCGTGACGATTTGAAGGCACCTTCCACTTCCAGCAAACCTCTCATCCTCGTGTAATGGAAGGCCGTCAGTCTCCAGCCCCCATCAGTGAGAAGTTCACAGATAATAAAGCAGAATGTATTCTGTGGGGTTGGACATTTTCTCCCAGGATGAGTCATTACCAGGTTTTAATCACGCTCATTAGCCAGCCATTAGAGTCCGGGCCAGGTTTTCACCGCCAGAAATGAGAGCAGAGAATGACTGTGGTGGGGCTGCACCCTACCTAGTGAAATACTCACCATCTGTTCCCAGTTGTAACTCTCTGTAGGAAGCATCTTGGTTTATGGCTACAGCAGTCTTAGATCCCCAGCACTGAATCTCCTTATTTCTCCAGATTGAGCCAGGCCTGAGCCTGTCAGAACTTGAAACAGTAAGAATGTGACATTCACTAAACTCAGAGGCAAGCCAGCACCAACTTACCAATCAGGAACTTTCCGTTTCAGCAGAAATATGCATTTTAGTTTCTATAACTTGGTACATGAAGGATCCATCCAGAACGTGGCTTTGAAAAAAATGAGCGCGATGGATATTACAATGAACCTGTTGTGTTTTTTTTTTCTGTTCTGGAAGCAACTGCCGCTGAATAAACCAACACATGCCTTATAAGTGCAGAGAGAGTGAATTTTTAAGATTTCTAATATCTTACTGTTTGTATGCCATTCTCTGCCGCTCCCCAGTTGTACTTTGTCTCTGATTGGACTATTCTATATTATCTTTATACAAATCTATGTTTTCTTTGAGTAGAAAACCTGAGAGAGGGCTTCATATCCTGTAGGTGTTTTATAAAGTTTTGTTGAATGATGGAATAGCACAGATGTATTTTCTTAGCTACGAATTATGAATACGAAGTGATTTCGTTTATTTCCAGCCTAAGAGTTTTTCTTTTTGTGCTTAGGTCTAGTGCCCCAAAACATCCTGCCTGAATGTTACCTTACCTTACCTATTACAGTACCTTAGTCTTTTCATTTCATAACTTGTGCATTTAGAATTTCGTCTGTACTGTAGAATAGCAAAATTAATTAAGGTTTTCACTGTCCTTCTTTGTTGTAGCAGCTATAAAATCTCTCCTTCCTACTTTTGCCTCTTCCTTAGACTCAGATCCTAGTCCACGTTAATTTCAGTGGTAAGTTTTCCTATCTTTTCTCCTTGCTCCTCATTTAATCCCCTGTAGTGCTCAAGGCAGTAAGATGGAGCAGGTGGGTAAGCCCTTGACCTCTAACTTGCTGGTCTCCCCTTCCAGTGTGGGAAGTCCATGCAGGTGGTGAAACAGAGCATCCCAACAGCACAGTGTCCAGGATGGTCCAGGAAAGAGTTTGTATATTCCTGCGGGTAAACAGGTGGAGTTTGCTAATGGGAAATAAAGGAAAAGCCACAGGAAAGTAGACCCCCTGAGTGGAAAGCAGCCACAAGAATCAGGAATAGGACACTCCAGCGAAACTAGAACATAGCCACAGTTCCAAAAGAACGTGATATTAAAGTAAGACCTAGTCGTCGGAACTGGGCATTTGGCCTCTGGAGTGAGGTAACCAGAAGCAAACCTCATACCCAGAGCCAGTGTGTTCTCTGAACATCAAGTTTGAGCTGTTAGTTACCTCCTGACCTAGGACAGGAAGTCAAGAGCTCAAGTAGGTTGTGGACAAATGGTCCCAGCAGGGGGAAGAACCTAGCTGTGAAGACTCCAAAACTAGTTTTCTTTCTTTAAGAACAAGCTGCATTCCAGAAACAATATGCCAAGAGGTAAATGTTGCAGAAGGAGCCACACTGAAACTCTCCATATGGCACGATTGCTGTGCGTTCAGTGGGGTCACTTACTGACACAGAAGTACCCCCATTTCTACTTTTGGCCAAGAATTACCTCTCTGAAAATTAAGACATGTTCTTACCAAGAACCAGTTTTTTCCATATATACTCGTTTTTCCAGTGCCTGTGAATTAGTAGACAGTATGATTGGTGCAAAGTGCTTCTTTTGTTATAAAGATGGTGCTATAATTCATTTTCAAGGGAAAACTTTTAGTTCTCCATTAGGAAGAAGGACAAAGAATTTTTTTAAGCAAGAGAAGGGATAGTCAAAGCCCTCATCCCTACACCTTTTACTGTACCCCAGACTCAGCATCCAAATAGGACTAAGAGAAGCAAGAGGTTGGGATAGTGACTGGGGCATGGCAGACAAGGAGTATAATGAGGCAGGGTGTGCTGGCAACTCCAGATGGCACCTTTACAAATATGGTGTAGATGTTCATTGCAGCACTGTTTACAATAGCCAGGACATGGAAGCAACCTAAGTGTCCATCGACAGATGAATGGATAAAGGAGATGTGGCACATATATACAATGGAATAGTACTCAGCCATAAAAAGGAACAAAGCTGAGTTATCTGTAATGAGGTGGATGGACTTAGAGTCTGTCCTACAGAGTGAAGTAAGTCAGAAAGAGAAAAACAAATACCGTATGCTAACACACATATATGGAATCTAAAAAAACAGTACTGATGAACCTAGTGGCAGGGCAGGAATAAAGACGCAGATGTAGAGAACAGAACTGAGGACATGGGGAGGGCAGGGGAAGCTGGGACAAAGTGAGAGAGTAATATTGACATATACACACTACCAAATGTAAAATGGATGGCTAGTGGGAAGCTGCTCTATAGCACAGGGAGATCAACTCAATGCTTTGTGACCACCTAGAGGGGTGGGATAGGGAGGGTGGGAGGGAGGCTCAAGAGGGAGGGGATATGGGGATATATGTATACATATGGCTGATTCACTTTGTTGTACAGAAGAAACTAACACACCATTGTAAAGCAATTATACTCCGATAAAGATATTTTAAAAATTTATATGGTGTGGGGAGCTCTTGAATCAGACAGTGGTGGAATCCTGTCATTGCACTCACTAAAGGATTAATGAATTAATGGATGTAATGCATTCAGAACAAAACCAGATCATGATAAGCCTGAAGTCATTGTTATGATCATTACTGTGATTCTTGTATTAAAATTATATTCTCCATGGTTCCTTTGTTTGGCAGGAAGGTGTTGTGGCACCAGGGAAAGAGATAAGCTTTTTGATATTAGTTCTTCTGGTATTAGCAGGACTTTCGGCAGAATCTTGGATTATTTTGGAAGCTGTTGAAGGTATTGGGGAGAAGGCTGTGGGAAATTATCCAATTTAGGTATTGAATTCTATAAGTGATGTTTTTATTTACTGAAGTTTCATTCATATTAGTAATAGAGTCATAGTGTTATAGAATGTCGAGACCCTTCCTTTTGCTCGTAAGGAAACCAAGGCACAGAGGCAAAGCACCTTGGTTGTTCTTTATATTTTCTAACTCTGCTGAAAACCTCTAACTTCTCGCTCTGTGCATCCATTCTCCTCTCGAGTTCTTTGATCATCTTTACAGTCGTTGCTGGGAACTCTTTCTCAGGTAGATTGCCTGTCTCCACTTCACTTAGTTCTTTCTCTGGGGTTTCATCTTGTTCCTTCATCTGGAACATGTTCCTGTGCCACCTCATTTTGTCTGAGTTGCTATTTGTATTTTCATCTCTGTGGTAGGTTAGTTACGTTTCTCGACCTTGGAGAAGTGGTCCTCGGTAGGAGGCGTCCTGTGCATCGTAGCAGTGCACTCCCCTCTCATCACCCAAGCTGTGTGCTCTAGGGGTTCCTCCTAAGAGGGCTGCATGGGTCCTTCTCTTATGGCAAGCTACGTGGTTGGTCTTGTTGGCTTGGTTGGCCCCTAGTTTGGTTGGTCGTCAGGTCCTGCCTTGTGCGGAGGCTGCTGGCTGCTGCAGTGGTGCCTGGTCACAAGGTGGCTGGTTGCTGGATCCTAGGGGGCCCCGGGGCTAGTGCTCGCTCACTGGTGGGCAGACTTAGGGTCCCGAAGACTCTGGGGCTGCTGCCCACCCACTGGCAGGTGAAACCAGGTCCTGGGGTTAGTACTGGACGACTGGCAGGCAGAGTCGGTTCCTGGAGTCTGGCCGCAGGGCCCAGGGATCCCAGAGCTGGTGTCAGATCACTGCCAGGTGTGGGGCGGGAGGGTTCATGTCACAGTTGGCTATGGGGCCCGGGGTGTCCCGAAGGTCGTGTTGGCCTGCCAGTGGGTAGGGCCAGGGCCCAGCTGGTCCCAGGGTAGCTCTGGCCTGGGTTGCGGATCTTATTTTTCTTGTTTCTGGAGTCTGTCCCCCTGGTGAGTGAGGCTGGCCTAGAGGCTTGTGCAGGCTTCCTGGTGGGAGGGGCGGGTGTCCGCCCACTGGTGGGTGGAGCTGGGTCTTGGCTCTCTGGTGGGCTGGGCCCACGTTAGGGGCGAGTCCAGAGGCAGCTGTGGGCTCTTTAGTTTTTAGCCTGTTTGCTGGTGGGTGGGGCTATGTCCTCACCCACTTAAGTGTTTGGCCTGAGGCGTCTCAGCTCTGGCGCCTGCAGGGTGTTCGGTGGTGGTGCTAGGCCTTGGTGTCTAGGAGCCAAGATGCCAGCCACCAGCGGCAGCAGTGTTCACGCAGGTGAACGGTCCCCAACATGTCTGACACCAGTGCCTACGCCCCCAGGGCGAGCCACAGCCGCTGCCGCCTCTCCAGGAGGCTCTCCAAGACCAGCAGGTAGGTCTGACTCAGGCTCCTATCGAATTACTGCTCTTACCCTGGTCCCGGTGCGTGTGAGATTTTGCGCGAGTCCTTTAAGGGTGAAGACCGTTTCCCCCAGTCCTGTCGGGCTCCCAAAATTAAACCCCACTGACCTTCAAAGCCAAAGGGTCTGGGGGCTTGTGGGAAGTACCTCCTTGGGCTTGTGCAGCAAGTAGAGACAGAGGTAAAACGAGAGCCCAGGTCTTCCAGCTCCTGCTCTGAGCCCTCTTCTCAAGTGTTTTGTAAGGTGTGCAGGCCTGTGAGGACAGGCCCTGGGGGGCAGCTTTTCTGAAGGGCCCAGCACAGCCCTGGGCAAAGAGAAATGCTACGTCAGACCTTGCCGGTCGATCAGATGTTTGACTAGGGCCTCTGCAATGATGCCTGCTCATTTTCCTTCCACTCAAACACCAGCCCCGGCTGCTCAAGACGCCTCCTCATTTCAGCTGTGTGGCTTCCCTTACCGCTCAATCCTTGCCTGTTGAAAACCTGGTCTCCCTTTCTGTGACTGCTTTCCTACAAGCTTGTCGTTCACCTTCTCTTTGTTTCTGGTGCCTCGGCGGTATCAGGTGGTGGCTAAGAGCTTGGACTGTACAATCAAGCCAGCCTAGACTCAGCTCACACTTTAGCTCTGAGACGTCAGGCAAGTTATCTAACTGCTGTCAGTCTTGGTTCCTTCATCTGTAAAATGGAGGTGATAATGTCTGTGTGTTTATGGGGTGGGGGAGGGTGAGAATTACATTAGACGATGTTTTTTTTTTTTAACATCTTTATTGGAGTATAATCGCTTTACAATGGTGTGTTAGTTTCTGCTTTATAGCAAAGTGAATCAGCTATACATATACATATGTCCCCATATCTCTTCCCTCTTGCATCTCCCTCCCTTCCACCCTCCCTATCCCACCCCTCTAGGTGGTCACAAAGCACCGAGCTGATCTCCCTGTGCTATGTGGCTGCTTCCCACTAGCTATCTATTGTATATTTGGTAGTGTATATATTAGATGATGTTTTAAATTGGATTAAGTTAGGTGAAGTATGAGGAATGTCTGGCTCATGCAAAGTGCTCAAAATCTGACGTCTGTTAATTATAATGTTCGTCCATATTAGAGGTGGGGGCAGTAGCTGGCAGGATTCAGTGCCCAAAAGCTATATTTAAAGATGTCCCTCTCTTTTTCTAATTCTGTTTCCTGATACCTAGTATTCCATGTTGCCAGTCATTTTTTCTCAAATCATCTTGAGCTCAGAAATAGGAATTCAGTACTGTCCTTCATTTATTACACATTTGCCAAGCACCTGCTCTGTCAATCAAGGGGATAGACAGCAGACCCCCTGCCTCCAGCCCTGCTTCCTTTGCAAAGTTGGGTTTGCTGGATTGAGGGTAGTTCACAGATTCTATGATCCAAGGGTCCTAGGAGTGAGATATGACATTTGTCAGTTGTATGGGAGGGAGTTTGTCAGAAGGTCTCCCCTGAAGACACCACAGGCTCCCTTGTCTCCCTCTGGAGGGAATCTCAGTCCAAACAACAATGTACTTACACATCCTTAGATACAGAGACCTCCATGCTCATAGCAAGAGTGAGGGAGGGGGGCTTTTCAGTGGCAAGAAGAGGAAAGCCCTCCGATCACTGACCCTGCATTGCCATGACAGCACCCCATCCTTCCATGGGCCATCTATGGAAAAACCACTTGAGAGTCACTCCCATTCTCAGACCCTGGGGCTGGGGCCTCCACTGGCTGCAGAGCCCGGTGTCATGACACCCCTAATCAGAATAGTAAAGAAACATCACTTAGAAGACATCACCAAACCCAGGAAATGAAGCACTCACTAAAAATAGTGACTTTTACCCTGTTTGTAATTCCACGTTTCCAGGTGAATCACATGAGCTGCCTGAGAACAGGGATCCCCTTGCAAAGCCCTGCATTGCTTTTACATCCACGGTGCCTCACAGTACCAGGTGTAGTAGGCATTCGTAAATAGTTGTTAAGCAAATGATTCCCAGGTGTCTAGAGGTGCTCTTCCAACACTGAAGAGCTTATATGCTGGATACCACTGGGCACACCTTACGCAAATTAACCTCTCCACCCTTCAGTATTCTCATGAGTAAAATTGGCATGATACTAGGAATAAGACTTATTGTCACGTGTTATGAGTTAAGTAACTTGTCCAAGGTCACATGGCTAACAAATGATTGGGCCATCATTTGGGCCAATCCAGATCTTGGGTTTGGGGGCTAAGCTAACAAGGCCATAGAGCCATCTTAATGGAGGAGTGGGTCTGGGCCTGCTGCCCTCATAGGTGCTCATGTCTCCTGACCCCCACAGGACGGGCTCTGATAAAATAACATTTAAATGGCTTTTTTTTTTTGCCAACTTGATAGAGTAGGAATGTGACCAAATTGCAAGCCTGAGGGAGGAAGTTAGTGCCAGCCTCTGCCATGTGGCAGTCCTATGGGAAACTCTGGATGTGAAGTACTCCAGACCTCTTCCCTCTTCTCCCAAGCGCACTTCCCTTACCCTTATCACAGACACAAGTCATGAGCTAGACTAAGCTCCGCCAGGACAAGGGTTAAATCTATCTCATCCATCCTATAACTTCCTTGCCCAGAACAGTACCTGACAATAGCAGGGGCTAAAAACAAATTTGTTGAATGAATGAATGGTGAGATTACTGTGTGATGGGTAAGGATTTTTTA